TTCATTTTCTCCCCCATTATATGGAAATGGAGTATTAGAGTCAAAGAGATAAAATCCATCATGCCTAACTAACCACAAACAATGTGGGAGAGATTTGTTGTATGTGTCTTGTTGGATTATGATTAAACATGAAAGAACTTAAAAACACAAGGATCATTCACGTAAATTTGAAATTTTGATTTAAGGAAGATCTGTTAAAAACTAACGAAAATGACTTAATAGGCAGATAAATTATAAGTTTAATGACCAGTTGCGCAAAAAAAAAAAAAAAACCTTAGTGACCAAATCGACTCATAGACATAAGTTTAATGGGTTACAGTGACATTTTCCCATTTTTCTTCGTCATTTGATGAGGAAAATTTTGATTTTGAGACAGATTTTTAAAACTTTCAGAATCTTCAACTTTCAAAAATGATTAAAAATATTTTTTTTACCTTTTACTTTGTAAAATATCTTTTTCAGTCCCTCGACTTAAAAGTTTCTAAAATGTCACTTCCACTCCCTTTATTTTCTAAAGTTTTTCCACCCTCTACTCCTCAACTTTCACAAATGACGATTTGATACGTGCATGGCTTGTGATTCTCCAAAGTCAAATTTCGAACCGAGTGTGAAAGGCGACCCTTCAAAAGACCTTTCAAATTCAGAACCAAGTCTTAGTTGCAAATGGATACGAATGGGTGCGAACGTTCGCAATGTGCCGTAGTCTCTTGCCAATGGTTGCAATTGGTTCCGAACCATAAGAACTAATCGGAGTCGTTGGTGATCGGTGCGATAGGGTGCAAGCATTGGAATGTGATGTCCATTTCCGTTGCGATTCCAGCTGGATGCGAAAGTCGGAAGACCGGATGCGAACAAGGATGCAAATAACCTAGGAAGGCTGGTTGCAATTCCGATCCTCAGAATGCTATCGGGTGTGATTCTCGGGAACTGTTCATTTGTGATCCTCGGTTGCGAAAGTCACTTGCTGAGATCTATGGTGCGAAGGGTCAGTTAGATAACTTGCTACAGAAGATATTACGTTATTTTTGGAAACAATCTTGCATTTATTTGTTGTATTTTAAGGCTTTTTCAGGTAGTTTCCTTTTGATTAATTAGTTTCCTTTTGTAATATTACATTGTAAGGCTATAAATAGCCTCATGGTCGAAAATTTGTAAGAAGTAGATTGAAGTTTATTGAAAATTGAACTTCTATTCATTTTGAGTTGTTGCGTACAATTCAAAACTGATCTTTGTCGGGACGTGTTTCCTAGTATTGATCTCGAACTCAAACTAATAGGTATTGGTTTGTTTTCACCGACGTTTCAAACTATAGATCTAGTTTGATCTTCATATCTATTCCTTTTGTTATTTTGTTATTGTCTTTGTTCTTTGTTCCGCTGCGTATCCCAAACCCATTTGGGTATCATATTTGGTTTCAAGTGATATATTAGTATCAGTTGTGGTGTCAAAAGTCTGATTCGTGTCGGTGGATTTTTGGAGCGGTCCATACACGCATCACGATTTCCACCCTGTACTTTGTAAAATGTCATTTTTAGTTCCTTGACTTACAAGTTTCTAAAATGTTACTTTCATGCACTTTATTTTCTAAAAGTTTCGTGTTTAGTCCCCGTAGTATATATATTATGATTTTCCTAGACCATCAGTCATCTACTTTGTAAAATGTCACTTTCCGTCTCTTAACTTTGAACCTTTTAAAATGTCACTTCAATCCCTCTATTTTCTAAGGTTTCTGTAACACCCGCAGATTCGGGCTAGTCAATTAAAATAATAAGCGTTAAAATGATTTTTTTTATATAGAAGATTATCTAGGATAAATAATCTTAACCAAAGTAATACTTAGGGTTAACAATTGTAACCTATTCGACGTAATAAAGAATAATTACTTGAATATTATATGTTTCATGATTATTATAATATAATAAAATCGGAAAAATCAGTCGAATCGTCCGTAAATCGTAAAAATAAGTGCGCCAAAACATATATACATTATTATATATTTAGGAAGTATACGTTGTCCCGATCCCGAAAATATAAATTTCGTCGAAATCCGAATCCGTATGGATTAGATATGATTTTTATAAGATATAAAAGTCAGTCGCACACAACGAATGTATGACGTAAAAAGCTACGAAGAGCATGGTTGACTTTTAGCTAATGCGGCCAAAATGAAAATCGTAGTACTCCTTAAAATAGGAATTTTGAGAAAAAGAATGTCAAAAACGGAGTCCGTACGAGAGAGTTATGATTTTAGCAAAATCATTTAATTTTATAAAAATAAGGACAAAAATATAAATTCAAAACTAGCCGACAGAGTCTAAATGAAAGTTGTAGATCTCGTTGATAGCTACACATGGATATAAAGAATGTCAAAAACGGAGTTCGTATGAACGAGTTATAATTTTTAATAGCACATTTACGTATTAAAATAAAGTATAAATCATATATATATATATAATATATATATATATATATATATATATATATATATATATATATATATATATATATATCATTAGAAAGGTATTGACGATGCAGTCGTTATTAGACTAGTGTTGAGTACTTTCGACATTAGTTTAGTGCAAATATCATTAAATCTATTTAAAATAGTATTATAAATGGGTGTTTAGTCATTTAAGTAAATATATAGAGGGTAGTTTTTGAAAATTCAATTTCTATAAATAAGAGCCTCTAGCCTCTCATATTTCTTGCATCATTCTCTTGATTCAAGAGTCTTTCTCTTCTTATCCCCCGAGCATTTCGGTCCCTCGTGATTCGACTTCTCTTTCTGTAGTTTTTAGTATAGTAAGGTGAGCGCTGAAGCGCTGGAAGAATCTTTCTTAGAAAGATTCAGCAACGAAGTTCTGCCTCTGCAGAGCCCGACTCCTAGCTAAAAATCCATTGTAAGTATGTTATGCTTACCCTATTTTAAATATAACTTATATTTAAAATTATTATTGTTATTATGAACTTATAATAAATATTTGGGCTATTATTATGACTTATATAAGTGTTGTTATAATATCTTTTTTAACTACTCGCAGTACGGAGAATCTGATTTAAAGGGCCACATTGGGTTGTTGGATTTCAGAAGTGCTATATGCCAAAATGGTCCTGCCCTCCGATGTTTTATGTTTGGTCCCTGTCTGTACATAGTGGTTGGAAAATATTATTTAAACGCTTATATAATAATAATAATAATGTTAAGACTAATAATTAGTCACGGTAAATATTAGACTAAAATCTAGTAGTAATAATACTAGGTTTCGTCGAAGGAAATTATATTGTTAAGAAGCGAAGCGCTGTCCGAGTTTGGAATCATCACTTTAACAAGTGAGTGCATAGTTACTTTTATCTTACACATAGATATGAAATATTTTATATAAATTACGTGTTATGTGTGTATACTGTCTGAATACTTGCTGTCTATGTTGGATGAAACGTTTTATACATGTTTTAAATGATCTAAACTGTATATGTATTTTATATCTACAAAATGTGTTGGGTAAAACATGGGTAGATTAGAGGTGAGATAAATGATGAGCGATGAAAGATGAGATAAATTATGAGCGATGAAATATGAGATGAATGATGAGCGATGATATATGAGTGATAAAATATGGTGCGAAACGATGACCTAAGCGATGAGCCAAAACGATGAGCCAAAACGATGAGCCAAACGATGAGCCAATCGATGACCCAAGCGATGGCCCCGTCATCTAGCAGAGTATGGATGACAACCACGAACTATTCTAGACAGTCTAGTGGAACACTAGCAAGCTTGCAACCTGTAGGTGTTGTGAACGATGTGTTCACCCGGTGTACTCTAAAAACCCATTGACATGTATTACGAGTGGACTCTTGAAAACGATACTGTCAATAAAAGAGATAAACCCTAACGACTATGCAGACTTAGTGCCGATTCCTTAGGATACTCTTTAGGAATGAATGAACGAGGAATAGCTGAATCTTAGGGTAGATCATTAAGAGTAAAGAAGATAATGGGGATGGGTAATTGGGTTGATTGTTTGATGCTTAACATAATAATTATATTATTATGGGTTGAAAACCCTATGTACTCACCAGGTTTCCCAACCTGACCCACTCAAGCTTATTTGTATCACAGGTGTCGATATGAAACTACTTTATATTGAGGGATTTAAAAGAGATGTAGACCACTAGTGTAAATGAATGTAAGTTCTGTTTATGCTTATGTTTCTGTATTGACGATGACATCCAAAATGTTTTTAAATGGATAAAAATACATTTCTTCGGAAATGCTTTGATAACGTATTTATCATGTTTTCTGGGAACAAATTCTGCAACATTTTTATTAAAAGAGGTACTCTGATTTTTATAAAGCATAAACAAAATCGGTATTTTCTGGCCGTGAAAATGGGGATGTCACAGTTTCATGTTTAACCCTTGTAGTATATAATATGATTTTCCTACGTCTACCACCCGTTAACCTTGTCAAATGCCACTTTGACCCCCGTCGACTTTAAACTTTGTTAAATGTCACTTTTGCCCCCTCGGCTTTCTAAACTTTCATGTTTGCCCCATCCACCAATTTTGTCAATGGTACTGATATTTTATATTTATCTACCAACAAATGCAAGTACAACCATATTAATGTATTGGCGTCGCCACAACGTGCGGCTATGATTTTTCCTACGGTTACCACCCGTCAAATTTATCAAATGTCACTTAGACCCCAACGACTTAAACCTTGTAATGTGTCATTTTCGTCATCAACTTTCTAAACTTTCATGTTTACAATATTCATCCATAGTTTTATCTACCAATAAATTCAATTTTACTTAACTTTTATCCTTACAATCATCAAAATTCAATTTATAATACTAATTGGGTAACCATTAACCCTAAATCTAAATAACTAAACTTCCTCCATATATTGGAAAATAAATTCAACAAAAATACAAAAAAAAAAAAAAGGCTTAAAATAAACAGGAAGAGAGGGGAACGCCAACGCCATCTCGAACCTGTTCACCCTTGTCGTTATACTACTAATAGCCGTCCTTAATCCTTTGATGGCCGTGAGGCCTCCTCTGCAATTCACCGCATCCTCAATCAACACCATCAAATTACCTTTCTACCAATCCCGATTCCCCGTCGTATTCCTCCGTTGCTTCGCTTCCGCCGGCGTTCTACCGCTGCAACACAACAACCACACCCACAAACACAATAAACATAGATATTCTCATCAACAAACCCTAGTTCACCCGCCTATTTCATCACTATCTTCATCCTACAGCACCAAACCTGCGTCATCTCTGCAAGAAAAACTGGCGCAGAAAATCGGTAAAGCTTCTCGCCATCCCGGCGCCTCGTCCAAGGCGAGGGTTTATACCGACGTTAATGTTGTTCGTCCCAAGGAGTATTGGGATTACGAGTCTCTTGCTGTTCAATGGGGGTTAGATCTCTGTTATGCCATCCATCATTTGTTTTTGATCTTACTTGTGTTTTGTTAATCCTGTTTTGACATCTTACAGCGAACAAGATGATTATGAGGTCGTCCGGAAGGTTGGAAGAGGAAAATACAGCGAGGTTTTTGAGGGATTGCATTCTGTAAATGACGAAAAATGCATCATCAAGATACTTAAACCCGTAAAAAAGAAAAAGGTTAGATCGTTCTCTTGTCTGTATTCCCTAATTTATTGTCTCCGATCATCTAATGATCTTTGAGTCGTTGCATACACATACATGGACCACAAAGAACTTAAGAACATCGAAATTCTAGATTAATTATGAAAGAATCTCAAGAGAAGTAGACAGTTTGTCATATTCTATCATAGGTTCTAAGGGCTAGCCTAAGAAGGAGATGAGTTCCTTTTGTTAGCCCTTGAATGCAGTCAAAGGAAGGAGCTTGTGTGAGGATGGATGATTTACATCAGTTTCAACCTCCAAGATCAAGAAACTCACTTTTTTACAGGTTTTATGCCAGCAAAAGAAGCATACACAAAATTCTTAAGCCTTGCTTTGAGAGTGGACATATATTGTGATATTCCCTCTTCCTTAACTTTAATTTAACTATTTGCAAGCAACTATTGAATTTGGAACATCAACATATACACCTTATTGAGGTTGATTCATATAAATGCTTGTTCTTTAATGTGAATTTGCAAGCAACTATTGCTTGGTTCTTTAATTGGATTTTGACATTTTTGTTGCACTTGTGAAACATTTTAGCAAATTTGGGCTAAAATTGAAATGCTTGTTCTAGAGATCTAAGCTCTGTTTCTTCCCCTGATAATGTCTGTCTTTCACTTTCTTCTATGCTTAACAACAGTAATATATGTATTAAGACACCCTTATTCTCAAATGACATAATTTGTTTAATCTTTACCTAATTCAGTTTTATTATGCTTGCAAGATCAAACAAACACATATTTAGAATCTTTTATAACGATTGAAATGTTGTTGAATTTCAGATCAAGAGGGAGATCAAAATCTTACAAAATCTATGTGGAGGACCAAATATCATAAAGTTACTGGATATTGTTAGAGATCAACAATCAAAGACACCAAGTCTTGTATTTGAATATGTGAACAACACTGATTTCAAAGTGCTTTATCCAACACTTTCTGATTTTGATATTCGCTATTACATCTTTGAGCTTCTAAAGGCAATCATCTCATTTCATATCACTTTCTTTCATAAAAAAAAATGAAGCATTAAATATTATTAAAAAAGATTTCTTTTTATTTATTTAACAGGCATTAGAATATTGTCATTCTCAAGGAATCATGCATCGTGATGTGAAGCCTCACAATGTGATGATTGATCATGAACAACGCAAGCTTCGCCTTATTGATTGGGGTCTTGCTGAGTTTTATCATCCTGGGACTGAGTACAATGTCCGTGTAGCTTCTAGGTTTGACTTCTTTGACTTTCAGGGGTAAAATGGTCATTTGTGCTTATATATCCTTATCCTTATTATCAATAATTGCATTTGCAGATATTTCAAAGGTCCAGAACTCCTTGTTGATTTGCAAGATTATGATTACTCTTTGGATTTGTGGAGCCTTGGCTGCATGTTTGCTGGCATGGTATATAATCTTTTCAACTAAATTACATTTTTGGTCCCTGAGCTTCTTCAAAAGTTGCACTTCCGCTCCCAAATTTTTCCCTCTTGCAGTTTTGGTCCCTATAAGGACCAAAATCGTTACACAAAGAGTAAATTACACGAATGGTCCCTAACTTACACGAATGGTTTGGGGTAATTTGCACGTTTGGTCCCTAACTTATTTTTTTAACTCAAAAGGTCCCTACTGTTTGTTTTTGTTGTGGGCTTGGTCCCTGTCTTACTTAAAAAGACTATTTTGCCCTTGATTTTTTAATTTATTTAAATAAACACATCCCCAACCCCACTTCCACCTCACCTTACCTTACCTACCCCACACCTTATTTAAAATAAATTAAAAAATCAAGGGCAAAATAGTCTTTTTAGGTAAGACAGGGACCAAGCGCACAACAAAAACAAACAGTAGAGACCTTTTGAGTTAAAAAAATAAGTTAGGGACCAAACGTGCCAATTACCCCAAACCATAGGGACCATTCATGTAATTTACTCTTACAAAAATTGAAAATTGGATCAAAACTGCCTTTTTTGAACAAGTTAAGGGACCAAAAAGGTATTTTATGTAAAAAAAAAATAATTATTTTTTGCAGATATTCCGAAAGGAACCATTTTTTTATGGGCATGATAATCATGATCAGCTAGTCAAAATTGCCAAGGTACTGTTTCTCATTTGTTTTTTTTTTTTTTAATAAAAATTAAGTTTTAACATTTTTTTTTGGGTTGTGTAGGTGTTAGGTACTGATGAGTTAAATACTTATCTACAAAAGTATCGTATAGAGCTAGACCCAAATCTTAGTGAGCTTGTTGGAAGGTTGTTAACCTATTTTTATAAATTATTATTATTATTATTATTTATTTTTTTGTGTGTCATTGATTATAAAAATGTAGTTTCTGGTATTGGCAACAGGCATAACAGGAAACCATGGTCAAAGTTTATTAATGCTGATAATCAACATTTAGCTGTGCCTGAGGTAATGTTTTAAAAAAAATTACATTTTATAAAAGTTTAATAAAATAAAAATGTGAAAATTGGAAATTACAAGTTTTAAAAAAATTGATGTGTGTGTGTATGTGTAGGCGATTGATTTCCTTGATAAGTTGCTTCGGTATGATCATCAAGAAAGACCAACTGCTAAAGAAGCAATGGTATGATAACTTTTTTTCTTTTGGGGATTAAAATTACCTTTTTACCCTTGAGTTAGTGTGAAGTTATTGAAAGTGTGTTGCTATTTTTTGATATTTGTAGGCGCACCCGTACTTTTACCCTGTAAGAAATGCAGAGAGCAGCCGAACAACTCGGGCATGATTGTTTTTTTTTTTTTTGGAAGCATGAATCTTTGAATATGGAATTTGTATATTTCTTATTGATGTTGTTTGTTTGTTTGTTTGTTTGTTGTTTTGGGAATTTAGATTTACTTATTTTTTTGGAATGCAAATTCATAATCTTGACATTTTTAGCATTTTGATACGTTTATGATGCGTGTTTACTGGTAAACATTTTAATTCCATGATGAAAACAAAATTTAAACATGCTTTGATTAAAATTTGAATGTAGCTACGACTAAAATCCAATTTTAAAAAATATATTTACATTGTTAATAACTTAATAAATACCGGTTTTATTTCTATCGGCATTTTATCTGTTTAAGACCATTTTTAAGGCAAGAATGACCTTTTTAGCTCTGCTTTATATATTACAAGCACAGATTTGAAACCCCTTACTAGGGAATTCGGAAAGTGTCTTGGAACTAATTTCTTATTTGATACTTCATGGCTTATTTAACTATCAAGCAAATGTCATCATTTTCATAATGGGTATTGGGAAATCTCAATGATATATAAATATATAGTAAAAAATACAATATGAATTCCAATTATAATTAATGGAGACCTAATCAAACCATTAGTTATTTAAATGATAATATTAATGTGAATATCAACAACAAACTTTTTAATTACAGCCTAAAATCAGTAATAGTATTCAACTGTTTAAAATATAAAAATCAGATCGTATATCCGTAAATTCAACTGACCACAGGGATGAAAAATGTTATTTAGCCAAATTATCATTAGAACCTTACCTTCATTATCATTAATAGCTTATATTTATTGTCTTTATGAGTTACTTCAATGATCTAAGTCTTCACCTTTCATAGTTACATAAACAATACAGGGTTAATGACTTAGGAGAGTAATAAGGTTTTAACTTTGTTCATATAAGGTCCTTAAGGTTTTTTTGTACATATTACACCAACATGGTTGTTATAACCATTTAAAAAAGGTAATAAGGTTTTAATTTTGTCCACAATAGGTCCCTAACGTCTTTTTTGTACATATTACACCAACATGGTTGTTATAACCGTTTAAAAAAGGGTAATAAGTTTTAACTGTGTCCACATTAGGTCCCTATTTTTAATATGTTTATCATTTCATCTAACTCTTTTACAATTTATGTTAGTATCTAGTTAGATGGCTTCATCAGTTCATCTTCTCATTTTAGTCGCTCATTCACCAACCACAGTTTCAATCAAAAGGTTACGTAAGTCAGTGGCTGAGCCAGGTCAAAGTAAAAGAGTATCCCCGAAAAGTAATAGGATATCCCCGATAAGTAATGGCTCTGCCAATTGGGTATCCCCGATAGGTAATTACTTATCGGGGATACCTCATTACTTGTTGGGGATACTCTTTTACTTTAACTCTAGCTCTGTCACTGGCTTATAAGCTATCCGAAATTTATATAATGACATAAAATGACATTTAAAAAATATGTTTTCTTAATTAATTAAGAGGTATATTTGGAAATTTAAAAAAAAAACTTTTAAAAACTAGTCTAAGTAGCTTTTTAAAATGCTAGTTTATAAGCTACTTTTTGGCTTGCCAAACATGATAACTTAAAAAATATCGAAAAATAAACTAGCTTATCAGCTAGCTGTGGCGCCAAACATAGTCTTAATCATTAAGACTTTCATTATTATTAGCTTTTTTTTTAATAAAAATGAAAAAAAAATTGTTATGTAACCTTTCGATTGAAATCATAGTTGTGGTGAATGGACGACTAAAATGAAAAGATGAAATGATGAAACCATCTAACTAGATACTAATATAAATTGTAAAAGAGTTAGATGAAATGATAAAAATATTAAAAATAGGGACCTAATGTGGACACAATTAAACCTTATTACATTTTTTTAAACGGTTATAACAACCATATTGGTGTAATATGTACAAAAAAAAAACCATAGGAACCTAATATGGACAAAATTAAAACTTTATTACCCTTTTTAAACGGTTTATAATAACCATATTGGTGTAATATGTACAAAAAAAACCTTAAGGACCTTATGTGGACAAAGTTAAAACCTTATTACCCTGCTAGGTCATTAACCCAAACAATACACCATCTCTTCCATCAAAATAATGGACATTAAATTAGCAAAAATATTCCAACAACAGGAAATAAACTACTCCATCTTCTAGTGTACAAATCAAATAAATGCATTAAAAGAGCACAATATTAAATTGAAAGAAACGTATAAGTGCTTGTTGGGTTTTCAAACCTCATTCCTCCGATCAAAATTTTGTCTTTAAATCCGGGACCCCGTCTCAGAAGTACAAATGCATTTTGTTGAATCCTAAAAAAACTGCAAATTCACACAAAACCTGTATAAAACTTAATAGATTACGATATATAAAGTTGTTTTTTTCACTCAATGCTAAAAATTATCTTAAGTAGTTAAGTTGTGAAAGTATGTTCAGCCATGATTCTATCTTATTTATTCCATAAATGCCTTTAAACAAACCCACACTCCAACAAAATAGAACTCTCTATCTTATTTATTCCATATATGAACCCATATCAAACAATAGTCTAGTGCATACTACAAATTAAAGCCCTAGAACCTAATAAACAAATAATTAAGCTGTAATCAAAATAAAAGGCAAATTGCTATGTAAAAACACAAATTTAGAGAAAATAAAGCCATTGCTAAATTTAAATACAAAATCAAAATTCACAAAACGATTAGTTATGCTATAACCCAAAATAAATTTTACATAGTTCTAAGGAAATATACACATGAGATAAATACATCACCCTCCCTATCAAACACTATGCAACAATTAACCTAAAAAGTAAACAAAGTGTAGTTAATTAATGCATAATAATCAAGAACAAGTTTGTTAATTGTTATCATAGCAACGCAATATATCATTTTACCCTAAAATGAAATATATTAATGGTCTGTGTCACTATAATGCTATATTTTGTCTCCAATTGGAAGACAAACTCACAAGACTCCTATATACAAAGATAAATGTTCCATAACGAGAGTATATCCCAGTCAACATGTTGAATATATAAATGATCAAGTTCATGGAAAATGGTAACAATATTTTATTAGAAGAGAAAAAGAAGATTAATAGTATTTATCTCTTTCGAAAAAAAAAACAATATTTATCTTTCAAAAATCTAAACTAGCATTGACCAAGTTTTGACCGGACCAAATATTTGGGCAAGGGTCAAGACTTATTGATCGACATTTGACAGTGAGACATGGATTTTTTGCCAAAAAAAATAGAAGACACTTGTTCATTGCTACATTAAAATTTCCAAACATACTAGGAATCCCTAATTTTACTAAAGAGTTCCTCAAAGAAAAGGTTCATTTCCTTACAAAAGTCTTCTAAACCCTAAAACCTTAAAAAAAAACACATTAATTTACACAAAACATAATAACCTATGACAAAGACTGCCTCCTGCTCTTCATTTCCTCAGCATTCGTGGATCGACTCTCCGATGTATCCGAACTCCCATTATCACTCTCCTTATCTTTACCCGAAAACACCTTCATAAATATCCTTTTTGACGTTAATACCCCCTTCCCTTTACTACTCGCCTTCTCACCACCTTTCTCAAGCTCCCCTTTCAACGTCTTGAGCTCTTCGCTCGTGGGGACCGACCCCCATTCTTCTTCTGTATTTGTCGTGGCAGTTCTTGAACTGCCACGGGACCCACCAGTGGGTCCATGTCCAGGTGGGATCTCACTGATCTCACCTGTTGTGGTGGTGGAACGCACTTGCTCAAAAAAGAGCACCTGCACCACCACACGTAACGGCAGTCGCTCGTTTTGAACCGCGTGCCGGCAGGCTTCCGGTGATAACTTTCGACAGTCCATTAACCGGCAAATTCTTTTCTTTTCGCTCTTTCCGATCCCCGGATGTTCCTATCAAATTTCAAAAAAACATAATGTTTTAATAACAAAAAAATAAAATAAAAAGAAAGGGAAGTAGGATGATATATTTTACCTTAAGATACATATCAATCGCGCGATAAATCCCATCATGTGTGGATCTAGGTAAAGTCGACACCATATCCGCAAGATCCGCAAACTTTAACAATTGCAAACACGGATCTTTTGCAATTTCCGCAAGATAACCATCGATAATCTTTGCAACATTAACTTTTGCATTTGAATCAACACATTTCACCTCCAAAAACTCATCTTGATCTTCCCGACTTTGATCCCGCATCATAAATATCGCAACAAGTTCTTGAACCAAATCAACATCAAGAATCGCCACGTCATCAACCGACACATTCTCCAACTCCCGCCCAATCCTTCTCATCAATTCTTTCTTTCGTGTCCCCCCACACTCCAAAACCACACACGCGTGCAATAAATGAACCAAAAACCCGCAAGAAACGGTTTCTTTTTCTTTTTCTTCCGGAAGGAGTTCCATTATCATTTCGATTAAAGAACGAGTTTTTAAATCATTCCCGTGTTTCTTTTCGTCTTTTTTACCAAACCAAGGTAATCTTTTTTGTGTATAAGCTCTTAAAGATTCACCAAGAACATCCGAACCCACGTTCCCTTTTGTCTTGATTGTGATTATAACTCGTTTATATAAATCACTTGAAAGATCACACAAATCTTCAACCCACCAATCTTTTGGGACTATAACTTTTCTTGGCGATTCGTTTCCCGATTTTTTTCGATTGTAAGTGTAAGACCAATTGACTTTGGAAGTTTCCATTGAAACTTTTGAAGCTATGGAGTCTAAACAATGGCTCACAATCTTTAATTCCTCCGACCATGGAACGAGAACTTTTGTTGATTGGAAAACAATGATTGAATCTTTCCAAGTTCTAAAGATGCTTGAATTCAAGAACACTTCGATCTTGTAAACTAGATTGCCTTTATCGATAGTTTCATACATTTCTAGATACTCGGCTGCGCATCGAGCCAATACTACATTGTACGGGTTGAGTGTGACTGTCATCCCGTAACAAAACTTGGCACAAATTTCAAATGCCGCGGGCCCACCGGGAATATCACGGATTTTGAGTTCTTGATTATTTTCGGTATCTGAAACCGCAACTAGTTTTTGCAAACGCGCGCTTTTAGACAACAAGGGAAACTACAAAAGTCAAAAAC